TGGTGTCACGGAAAAAAAAAAAAAAAAAAAAAAGGCTATACAATGTATAGAAGTGTACAACAGGCTGGGTTTTAAGTCTGAGTGGTGGGTCAGAAGTTGTTAAACAGGTAGGTCATTGAACAAGAAATATCTGTACAGTGATACCTTGTCAAACAGGTCCAAGATCAAATTTTCAACTGTTTGAATAGCAGAGTTCAAAAAAAATCTGCTCAGTGTTCCTAACTTTGCTTGATAGTCGAAGCAAAAATCTGACTTGAAAAAACTACACGTCATGCGTGAGTCATGTTGCGTCTTACCTTGGACATGAAGGAGTCTAAGTTCTGCTCTTGCCCAGACAACATATAATGCTTGCATTAGTGCCTTAAAACATTTGTCATCGTGCTTTTTCTTTTTTGCACATTGTATAAAATATCATAACCATGGCTCCAAAGAAGGTTAGTGGTACCAGCTAAAAGCTAAGAGGAAAACTGTGAGTACTGCAATAAAATTAAAGAAATTATTGCAAAATTTGTGAAAGTCCTGGAAAAATCAGTTTATAAGTGTAAATTTAGGACCTCAGCACCAGTTATTTAGTTTTCTGTTGTGTCTTACGTGAAAAATATGTTCTGTTCTCGAACTTTTCAGTGTTCAAATACAAATTTAGAATAAATTGAATTTGACAAATGAGGTATCACTGTACAGTTTAAATGTAATGAGAAATTCTTTCCTAGTCACGTATGTTTGGAGTTCTAAATGCCTCGTATATCTGGATGCCCATATCATTCCCAAAATTTGGAAAGTTTTATGTTATTATTTTATCAAATAAAATTTCTTGTGATTAGTCTGTATCCTCCTCTGAAATTCTAGGTTTGGTCTTTTAACTGTGTCCCAGAGTTTTTGAATGTCGTTTATATTTTTTCCTTATTAGTGTCTGAATCTGATAATTATCAATCATATTTTCAAGCCCTGAAATTCTGTTTTCTGTTTAATCCTGTCTGCTGGTAAAGTTTTCTATTGAGTTTTTTATTTGTTAATGCACTTTTATTTCCAAGATTTCCTTTTGAAGATCTGTCTTTATTGAATTGCTCCTTCATATCTTGCATTGTCTTCCTTCATTTGTAGCTTTCTTGAATTAATTAGTCATTTTAGAAATTAAGTATTTTGAATTCTTTAGCAGTTCATCCACTTCACTATCTTGGTGTTCAGTTACTGACAAGTTATGGACCATTGGAGGAGTCATGTTGCCTTGTTTTTTCATGTGTCTAGTGTTTATTGAGATTTTGCTCTTTTGGGGGATGTGTATCTCTTCTACTTTTATGTGAGTCTTATTACTGACCAACCTTTTGAGGGCTTGATCCCCAGCACCACTTATAGAAAACAAATTACAGTAATGATGACAACACAAAAACAAACCCATATTGACATACATTAAAAACCAATTTAACATTAGTGACTACACTATTATTAGCAATAGAAAAGAAAGCAGCAATAATATGGAGTAAACTAAAACAAAAAAAATTTTAAAGTAAAAACTAATTAAAAAGTAATAAAAGTAGAGGGAGCAGAGAAAGGAAAAATGGAAGAAGTAAAAATTTTTTAAAAGACTTGAATGAGAAAAATTAGATTAAAAATCCAGTTAAAGAATAAAAAAATAAAATATGGTAAAAGTAATAAGCAACACGAAAAAAGGGGGGTATAAAAAATGGATAAAAAAATTTCTCTCTCTCTCTCTCACCCCCGCCCCCCCGGCTGCTCATAGTGATCCTCCTGCCTCAGTGTCATCAGTGTGCACCGCCATGCCTGGCTGATTCTGTTTCTTGAATTCTTATTAGTCAAATATTGAAACTTCTACATGTATCCACTATTATTCTAAGTGTATCTACTTTTATTTTCTGAGGGGTATGTGTGTGTGTGTGTGTATGTATACATGCATGTGTGTACTTCTGTATTTTGGCAAATCCACAGTAATAATCTTCCATTTTACAAATTCACATTGCAGTTTATTCCAGTTACATTAACTATGAAAGTGACCCTAATGGTAACATGACAGAATGTGTACCTGCAACATACATGCTTTCTATACAGATTCAGTGTTATGTTGTGCCCAGAAATGAACAAAAACAGTAATTTTATGCTGTGTACATGCCTTGTCTATTCAGAAAATCTAAAGATAGAATGTACCTGTAAAATTTAAACATTTTATATTTGTGGTGTTTTATGTAAATCAATACCCAAAGACATGTCTCCTCTGACCCATTTTGTTATACTCCTGATTTCACTGGTGTCCTGTTTGTCACATGTGTGTCTCCTTCAGAATGCTGCCTTTTCTTATCTGTTTTTGGTGATTATCTTGACAGTTTGCTCATTTTTGTCCTTTACCAAATATTCACCTAGTTGAGTGTTTAGGAGCTTAGCACCAGTGGTCATAAGGATTGCACAAAACAAGCTGCTGAGGGGTAGGAGTACTGATGCTTGTCTCCTGAGGGTCTGCAGCTCTCTGTGACATTGCCCAACTCTGCAGCCCACTGTGCATCCTAGCTGCCCTAGCCTGTAGATGTGTGACCCCACTGTTCCAAATTCCACTTACCTGTTACTCGTCCTGATTTTTGTCTTGAGTCCTTCCAACTCCAGCTGTCTGTGTCCACTGCCCCTGGCTTGAAACTCTCCCTTAAGTGCTCCTATTTTTGCAGACATCTTGTCCTACATGTGGCTTGGGCTGTGGCTTCCTTCAGTTCCAGGAGCTTGTAGATAGGCTTTTCTTAGTTTCCTGTACACTTATGATTTATACTTATTTTTAAATATTTATTAAGTATAAATTCATTTTCTCAAAAATTTTTCATTGCCACCTAAAGTAGCTTCCCCGTTGCTTCTATCACATCGCCTCAGTTTATTTTTATTGTAGCATTTACCTTTAGTTAGTATTTATCTTCTGTCATCTTTCCAGACCTAAATAAAGATTCCATTAGGCATCTTATATGTTCTCTTTACTGTCTTATAATAAGTGGTTAGCACAGTGCTTGCCATATAGTAGGAATTCAGTATACTTCTTTTAAATATATATATATATCATATCTGTGTGATTTGGGGGAGGTACCAGGAATCACACTCAGGTCCTTGTGCTTGTGAGGCAGGCACCAAACCACTGAGCTAAATCCCCAGACTTGAATTTTTTAAATTTTAGATTTTATACCAGGAAACTGGATTATCATATATTCTATATTAACCTTCCTATTCAAGACAAAAGAACACTTTACTAGCCAAATAATTTTCTTTGCCAAAAAAGCTGTACATCAGTCTGTTGAATAATACAAAATGTAAAGTTCTTAACCTCTAGCGCTTCAATTTGTAAGTCAATAAAACAAAACTTTAGGGCCAGGGATTAGCTCACTGGCGCCAAGCCTCAAAAGCGCAAGGTCCTGCCTTCAATCCCTGGTACCAAGGGGTAAAAAGAAGAAAGAAGAAGAAAAAAACAAACAGCAGAAAAAGGAAGAAACAACACTTGAAGGGAAAATAAAAGCAAAACTTTGATCTTCTAAGAATAGTATTGGGAAGTGACCAGAAATCACAAATACATTTGTGCCTCTAGTTTCCATAATTTTTGAGATACAGCTTATTCTCATGCCTTATTATATAGCGGCTTTAACAAACTCAAATTTCCCTGGCTAATTCCCAAATGCTTAAATTAGGTTAAGGATTTACTCTATCAGATAGTTTTTGCATTTGTGTTCTGCCTTTCTCATTATGTTTGTTTAGTTATCTAACCAGCCAATATGTGATAGTCATAAACAGTTTTTAGTTTAAAAACATTGTTTTGAAAGTTAATACCTTAATTAATAGATTGGAAAAATAGAAAAATCTACTTAGGTGGGTCATATTTTCCCATGAAAGCCTTTTTTATTGGTACTGGGGATCGAACTTGGGACACTGCACTTGCAAGACAGGCAGCGGAACCACTGAGCTAAATCCCTAGCCCTGTTTCAGCCTCTATTTGAATGAGTATTTATTGATAAGTATTTTAGTTGTTTCGGTTTTCATATAATTAGTTATAAAATTAGTAGCATTTTTATGTTCTATATAGATAAATTTTATTTCCACATTTTTCTTTGAAAATTTATATTGAAAAAAGTAAGTCACTACAAAAACTATCAAAATTCATCTTTTCTTACAATACAAAAATATTTACATATATTTCTATACCTAGAAAATTACTGTAGGTTATATATACTCTTGCCATCAAGAGAAAGAGCTTAAACCTTACAGAATTAGCCTCTTACCTTTGTAATTCTGATGAAATAGTTTTAATTTTGTCTTTTATTATTTAGGCAAAGATGCAATTTATACAATTCCAGTAAGAAACATTCTTGCTGTGGAAAAATTAGAGGAGAGTTCTTTCAACAAGAAAAATGTAAGTCATATAAATAAATACTTAAAGTATTTTTAAACTGCATACACATAAAACTTAGTTGAATATTTTTAACTTGTTTTAATGTTTACCATAATAGCTTATAATTATTATAATTACTAATAGCTTATAAATCGCTAGCTCAAATTGCTTTAAAATTGTCCTTTAATGTTGCTACCTCAAAGTCTGTGCAATTTATTAAGAATATTTTTCTCAGTTTAAATTAAAACTACTTTCCCTACTTATCAGACTTCTCTCTATTACTATGAAGTCTAAGTAACATAGTCCAACCTATCTGTGGTACTTTGTCTTCTGTTATCACTCAGTTCCTATAATACACTCAAGTCAACCAAGACCATGTCCTTACTCCTGAGGATTTCTTCATTGCTTTGCCTTTAATCATCTGAAATTCCCTCCATTTTACTATTATTAGTATGATAGGCCATTCCTCTTTTGAACATGTATGACTCTAAAAATTATATTCTGTTGTACTGCTTAATATCATGTAACTTCAGTTGTCCTTGTAACTAACTTGCTTGAAAAGTAATAATGATAGGATATCTTAGCAGAGGTTATCTAGCCAAGTAAATTAGATCTCTGTTACATACTTTGTCTGATTTGTATATTATGTTTTGGTTTTTAAGACTTTCTTTAACTTTTTATCTTAATTGCCTGTGAAGATGTTCCAAGTGATACATACCGAGAAACCACTCTACGTCCAGGCAAACAATTGTGTGGAAGCTAATGAATGGATAGACGTACTCTGCAGAGTGAGCCGATGCAATCAGAATAGACTTAGTTCTTTTCATCCTTCTGCATATCTAAATGGAATCTGGCTGTGCTGTCAGGAGACTAGCGAAAACACTCCAGGCTGCAAGCCATGTACTGCGTAAGTTTCTCACTGATTAAAAAAAAAGCAATACAGTAGACTGTTATTTGGCTACATGCTACAATATGGATGACCCTTGAAAACATTATGCTAAATGAAAGAAGCAAGACATAAAGTCCACATATTATTTGGAAAATTTTTATATTACAAAATGTCCAAAATAGGTAAATTCATAGAGACAAAGTAGATTGGTAGTGGCTGTGTTTGAAGTAATGGAGACATATAGTGTTAATGGATGCAGGATTTCTTTTTGGGGTACTAAAGTTTTCTAAGTTTTTTCTTTTTTAAGCCAATGTTTAAATACAAGTATAAAACTGCAGGGCTGGGACTGTAGCTCAGTGGTGGAGTACTTGCCTAGTATGCCCAAGGACCTGGGTTCAATCCTTCCCACCACCAGTTTAAAAAAAAAAACAGTTCAGGGCTGGAAATTTAGCTCAGTGGTGCTTACACCTACCTCACAAACAGAAGGTCCTGAGTTTGATCCCCAGTACCAAAAAAAAAAGTTCAAGCTTGGACAAGATATCAAGGAAGAAGGGTACTTAGCATTCTGTATCTAATTGTGTGGAATAGCCATTGTAGCCATTGTATAGGTCTGTAGGGTTAAGTAATAGTGTATTTATTTTGTGATGAAACATGGATTATGAAAATTATTTTACTTTAAAATCCCCCTTCCTTAGGGGAAGTGGGAGGAAAGGAAACAAGGGAAAAGAAACAAAATGAGAAAATGAAAAAATGGACCTGTCATACAAGATCCCAACGATGAATGTAACTGTACTGTATACCTAAAATGTACCAATAAACTCAATGAGAAGATAAGTAAATAAATAAAATCCCCCTTCCTTAGGGGAAGTGGGAGGAAAGGAAACAAGGGAAAAGAAACAAAATGAGAAAATGAAAAAATGGACCTGTCATACAAGATCCCAACGATGAATGTAACTGTACTGTATACCTAAAATGTACCAATAAACTCAATGAGAAGATAAGTAAATAAATAAAATCCCCCTTCCTAGAGGTGAGAATGTAGGTGGGTAGTAGAGCATTTGCTTTACCATGCATGAGGTCCTGGGTTTGATCCCTAGCACCACCAAAAATAATAATTTCCTTCTTATAATTAGTCACATAATGACCAAACTCTTGGCTCTGTTTTGTTTTTAACTATCAGTGAAACTAAATTTCTAAAGTTTCTTTTGCAAAATTGTTATTCTTTAGTAGTACATTTTTGTAATACCTGATGATTACATTCATTGTGGGGAAGTTGGTACATGTACATAGCACATCTAAACTCTCTTTTTCTTATTCAAATCTTAGTCTCAAATCATCAGAAGTTTTTGACATGTTTACGTTACTTTTGTCCAGTGTCTTTATTTTCTTTTAATTTTAAATTTTTATTCTTATTACATTCATGAGTTGTATATGTACATAAGACCTCTTAATTCTTTTTACTTCCTCTCCCCCTTCCTCCATCTCTTGATTCCAGTGTCTTTAATTTCTTTTTTACAGAGGTGTCCCTGCAGACATTCAGATAGATATTGATGAAGATAGAGAAACAGAAAGAATTTATTCCCTTTTTACCCTCAGTTTGCTAAAACTGCAGAAGATGGAAGGTAATTACACAACCAGTGTATTTTTATAATAACATCTTTTATTACCAATTCCTGAAGTGTGGCTTTGGCATTATAAATTAGACTTTCCAAAATATTACTTAATGAAATTCATAAAATCCCAAAAGGGATATTTTGATAGATATTTGTGAAATGAAATTACTGTTTTTACAAATGTGATACTTAATAAAATTTGTATATTTTAGTCATTTGTGCACTGCCAATGGAAATCCCTCCAACTTGAGACACTTGACAATTTTTATTTATACTACAAGTTACATTTATGGAATTGAGTTTTCTGATCAGATTTTGCTATTCCTTGTAGAGGCTTGTGGAACTATAGCTGTCTATCAAGGACCACAGAAAGAGCCTGATGATTATTCTAACTTTGTAATTGAGGATTCTGTAACAACCTTTAAGACAATTCAACAAATAAAAAGCATCATAGAGAAGCTGGATGAACCTCATGAAAAGTATAGGAAGAAAAGATCAAGTAGTGCAAAATATGGGAGCAAGTAAGTGTTTTTTAAATTACTATAAACATACTTCTACACAGTTTGAAATTGCCTTTCCTGTACCTGCCCTCAGGCCTCTTGCTTGCCCACCTCTGTCAAGACCAAGCCCAGAGTCTTTATCTTATGTAATTTCTCTACAACTCATACTCACAGCACTCCTGGTCTTTTTCAGCTCAGCTATCAATTCATTGTGTTTGTGTTGCACTTTTACCACCACTTCAAGTGTTATGTTGAGTTTTATTACTTGAATATTAAAGTACTTAAGACCAGCCATGGGAGTGCTGGAAGTATTTCACAGTTGATTGTGTGAATCCATCTTACAGAAGCGAATACAATAGATAAAAAAGGAATAGTTTACAGTTATCAGGAACTTACTCCACCTAAGCCCTGTGCCTACATTATTTTATATCATATTGTTTAGATTGCATTTAGCAACAAGTAGCAAAATCCTGATTGAAGTAGCAAGAAACTTTTTAGTCTCACAAATTAAGTCCTACTATTTATGACTGGTTAATTCAACTGCTCATCACTGTCATCTACGACAATCTGTTGTTCATCCATCCTCGAGATGGTTTCTGTCTTCTTCAAGCTTCCTTCCTCATGGTCACAGATTAGCTACAGTATTTCAGAGCTCCATATTTTTCTCTGGTCTGTTCCTTCTTACCAAAAGAAAAGAGCCCATCTAGAGTAACTCAAGCCTTCCCTGAAACAGGGCTGCCCAGTACTAAACCAAAATCAGGGTCTTATTTACAACAAAGTAGATAAGATTTGGTTGTTGGATCAGCAAATAACAATATTTGCCACAGTGTATATCACTTTCTCATTGATCCTCACATTAGTCCAACGTGGTTTTATCTCCACTTTATAGCTAGAGAAACTGAGACGCAGGGATATTAAATGCCTTGACCTAAGTTAAGGATTAGTAGGAGGACTCTGAATCCTGACTCCCACTATTTTAATACTCTGAAAATTATAGGCATTAATACTTTTTACTTGTAAACATTAAAATTTACTTTGACAGGTTTAAATATTTGTAATCTTCCTGCATAAAAAGCTTAGTGCATTAAGAAGGTTTAATTGTAAACATCTAACTGTCTTTTATATTAGTAAAATTGGTTCTCTTTCCAGCATCAGTAATCCAGTTTTCTTAGAGCCCTGAGAAGTTTCCATGTGAAGTCCTTGCCAACACTTGACCATCCTTCTTAGATAGTACCCCGTCCACACCCATACACACTATCCCCCTGCCGAGTGTTCATTAAAAAATGCCAAGGACTGGGGATTTAGCTCAGTGGTTCTGCTGTCTGCTTCGCAAACACAAGGACCCAGGTTTGATCCCTGGTCTAAAAAAAATAAAATAAAAAATACCAGCCTGTTCTTGTACTAAATGTTTTTGCTTATATTTTTCTTTGCCAGAATGTAAAGCTCCATGACAGCAAAGGTTTCATCTGTTTTGTTCACTAATATATCCTTGGCTTGTAGAATAGTGCCTTAAATTTAATGAAGTGTTCAGTTAATAGTTGTTGAATTAATGAAACAAGATTCAGCATGGCAGTGAATATGCAGTAATTATATTTATGAAAAGCATGGGATTAAAAGATCATCAAAAATTATGAAATGCTTCATGAGTTCTTTATCACTTTTTTAATTTTATATTTTTTAACTTACAAACAATTATTTTCTTTTACTGTTTTCTAGGGAAAATCCAATCATTGGAAAAACATCATAAGCGTTTGACCAATTGATTCAGAAGAACTGGAAAATACTCTTTTTTCTTGAAGTTTTTCAATTCTTCATGTGTTTTGTTCATAGTATTTAAGAATGAACATTGGCTTTAGTATCACCTGCATTCACATTATATTTAATATTTAATGATTGAAATTAACTGTTTGGAAGTCCTGGTTTTAATGTATTACTAGAGAATTTGAAATCCAAGATTTCCTTCATATCGTATGTGTCCAAATTCATGTTTCTGCAACTTCGTAATAGAATCTTCTAAAGAAGTTTCCTAAAGAAGCTTTTTAACAAAGGGAGTACTTCTCCATAGCAAGAAACCATCTCTTCTTATAACACTGTTCTGTGGACTTTTTTTCACTACCATTAGTGCCTGCTCTATACTGCCAACATGTATTTTACTAGAAAATTTCAATCCATGTCAATTCAGAGCTTTCCATTAGTTCACCTAAACGCTCCCTCTTTTGTAAAAGAAAAAAATTTTCCCTGTGGTCTATTCATTATTACAGGTTACATTAGAGACAGCAAGAAAAACTTTAGAAAACTGCCAGAGCATTCTTGAAAGTTGGTAGATCCTTTTGCCTATGGAAAGTTGTAAACAGAATTCAGAGGAATCAGGGAATATGTGCTATTGTGTACATCATGTTTACATTTGGGATGAGTGTTGGCAGATGAAATAAAATGAAACCACTAAAAGTTTTTCATTGTTTTAAATATCAGGTACTCATTTCTTTTTTTTAATTTGAGAATTCAGATTAACATGACTTCTAAGGGCATCTCTTCTGAACAAGAAGACAAAGTAAACAGTGAAAGAAGGTGGTGGGGAGATCACTTGACCTCACCTGCTACTTTGTGTTATAATAAGGGCATCGTAAAGACGCCTTCCTCATAGTGTTAGGTTGAGATCTAACTCGAGAACAGTCACTTGGCGCACTTTAATAATCTGGCCAACCCAGATTATACTTTAGATACTCCACAGTATCTATCTTTATGATCAGTTGAATGATCAGTGTTTAAATCTAGAAATAGTACTTTCCTGAAAATGTTTATATTTCTTTGCTGTTTCCTTATTGCCTGCTAGCCAAATGGAATTTGGTTTGAATCTTATTTTTCCTTAATAATTTACTTTTGTCCTAAAAACTATAACTGTAAATAAGCAGTCGAAGCAAGTTGCCACCTTGAAGAGGAGGAATATACTTTGCTTCATCAGTATTAAAATTGTGGTACTCTTAGTTTGTCTTTTTTAATTCAGAACATTTTCTAAATGTGGTACCTTGAACTTTGGAGTATTTAAATATGTTCCTGTTTAAAACTGTGACTTATTAATGTAAGTCTAGCCAGTAGTGCTTTTTTTTTAATCTCCCTGAGTATAAGCTATTTTTCACAATATGTTTGCCAATTATATTATTGGTGGGTATTTTTAAATTGTATTGTTATTAGGTCATTATTTTTAAAGACCATTGGCACACAATCCAGGTTGTTCCATTAGTGATCCTAATTGAGCAATGTATTTCTCTATGTGAATTGTAAAAATCAGTTGGCTTTATTTAAGAATCAATACTATTTTGCTTTATGATTGGTTATTACTCCTGGCTCATTGTAAAGTCTGGAAGAATCCTTTAAATTTTATGAATCTATAGATTCCATGAACTATACTAATTTATGTGAAAAAGTTTAACCATTTAATAACCCTCTCGTGAATTTCATTCAGATTAAAGTTCCTTTTAATGGGACCAGGGATTAGCTCAGTGGTTTCACCACCTGCTTTGCAAGCCCAAGGACCAGAGTTCGATCCCCAATACCAAAAAAAAAAAAAATCCTTTTAAAATTCTCTAAAATGTCTGCCTATAAAAGGATATGTGAGCATTGCTGTGTATCACTTATTACTGCTTGGTGGCTTCTTGATCTGCTGGATTTTTGTTATGGGGAGTTTAGCTTCTTGGGGAGTAGCCAAAAGAAATACACTTCTAGCCTTTCTAATATCAAATCCCTAACTATAATTATTTTTAAATATCCAAGAAAGGTCAAAGGAACAAACCACTGCTCTCCTACATAACAATGCATTTGAAGTCATCTGGCTCTTTTCTTCACACAGCATATTTGAATGAATAATTTGAATGGAAATAATCAGTTTAGCACAGCCTTAGAAGAGAAATGTGAAATAAATTTTCTTTGAAAATATTTTGCAATAAGTAACTATATCAGTAGGACCATAAGGCAACCACAGTCCTTGCTCTGGAGGCCTCCTTACTCTGCTGTTACTCATGAGTGCTTTAAGGTTTACTGTACCTGATCTGCTTTCTCTCCCTTTCCCAAAAGCTTTTTTAAAAGTACATGGCAGCTTACTTCTCCCCCCAACACTTGAAAACCCCAGGGAGGACAGAAAAGGATATGGGAGAACTCTTGCTAAAAACACCAGTCCTAATTCTTGGTTTAGCCATTTCCATTAATTGAAATTATGATGATTTGTTGCTTGTTTTTGTTTAGCTTGTTTTTTAATATTCATTTGATAAGATCATGGACAGTAGCAAATGTTTTTATTTCCAGGAATATAACTTTATCAAGTCAAACTATTTTATTTGCCAAAAAAGTATGTTTTTAATATCACAAGTAATGGTTACATGTCAAAACTAGGCTTTTTTTATTTAAAAAAAAAAAAAAAGACAAATGATGTAGCTGTTGTTTCATCTTCTGAAACCTGGTTTCATTCTTTACTAGAAAAGCTCTTTCATGCCAGGTTTTGAAAAAGTTTTTTGGTTGGTTTTTTTTTGTTTTTTTTTTTTAAGCACCTTTAATTTGCTCTAATGGTACCTCCTGTAAAGACAGAATTGTGCATAAACTTTTAGGTGTCCTTGCGGTATATGAAAAATACCAGACTCATTCTAGAGTTAAATTACCAATCTTGATTGATACAGTGTTTGCATTTTTAACTTGGAAATTAATATGTTGCTAGTAAATATTGGTTTTTACAAGTGTCCAGTTTGAAAATGTAAGTTATCAAACTTAATACAGTGAATTTGTGTAACCATATTGTATTGTTGAGAATGTATTTTTATTTAAATTTTATTTTCTTATCGAGAGTATTATAAAAATTTAAAACTTTTGTAACTGTCGCTTGAAAATAACTCAAATAAATTACAAGAAGCCTGTCTTTTCTTTGTGAGATTTGACTTACTGATTTAGAGTTTCTTATTTAAAATCACTGTACCTTGCCTATTAAAAAGAAATAATGGAGGTGCAAAATCTCCAATAACGAGAAGAAAGCAAACTGGAAAGGCTCACCTAACTAGATTTTTACCTGTCTTGATTGAGTTTTGATGGACTGTGCTCCATTTCGATCATTCATTCACCTTTTGCTCTGAGGACCTAAGTATTCAGGTAGCATGCAAACTCCTGTCATTCCAAGCAGCACGCACATATCTTGTAGAGGAATAAATTCCACTCCCATCTGGGTGACTGATTTAGAGCTGTGCCTATGTTTGACTTTTTTGAAGAAGCCCACTTTCTGTTCTCAAAAAAGACCATCAAAGCCTCTATTTCCTCAGGTCCCACATTGACCACAACAGGTTACCTCACCCTGCAGTTGGCATTCTATGCTTCAGCCTTCTGGATTTTAGAATTTGACTGTCTTGTGCCACTTTAATGAATATCTAGAGGACACAAAGTGACAGTTCTAAAGACTAGGTTGCTACATAATCTATGCCCCTAACATGCGAAGTCAGGATCTTTCTGAGGCACCCCTTTATCATCCCTAAATAAACCTTCCATAAAATACAGCAGCCCTTTGACTCCAGAGGTATTTAATAAGGCTCTCAAGGCAGGATTAAGGTTCTAAATCTTAGAAGATCTTATTTTTATTGAAACACCAGATCCTGATGCTTTCCCAGGTGTGGAATAAAACTTGTAAGAAATATCAGACATAAGGTTCCATTCTATGATGCAAACGAGCTAGTATTTCAGGGGAGGAGCTAGACTTCCCTTTCCAAATCATACGACTCCAAAATGAGGAACAGGCCAAGCAAAGTATCTTCATTACACAAGAAACGACATAAATTGGCAGTGCTGGCGTGCATTCTTCACAGCACACCAGGAGCTAGTGCTGGAGTTCTGCAAACCTTTCAGAGGATACCCTGTTTGGTGGCCTTGGCACGCCTCAAGATAAACCGGCCAATTGTTCAGAGGTCTTTGGTCCTTATTCTTCATACATATCCTCAGATGAAGTTTGGTCTTTTGTGATCAAAAAGAGCAAAGGTATTGGTGTGGCCAAAACAGGATAAGTGAGGAGACTGATGGGCAGGGACCAGGCCAAGGAGCTACTGAGTGACATGCCATCTACGTCTTTTGGATCACTTTTGAGTAAAAGTTTCAAGGAGACAAGCCGGTGGGGAAGCCAGTAGTGCAGCCATGAGGTGAGGGGTAGTCAGGTTCTGGTTATGTTCGATGGTAGAATCAGTAGACTTTGTTGGCAGATGGAACGTGTGAGAAAAGAATCTAGAAGATCCAATAGCCAAGGTTGTTTCCTGAGATGCAAACAACTCCAGAAGGAGCAGGTTTTTGTGTCTTATCTGTGTTCATGTTACTGGTTCTTAGGAGACAGCTCCACTTAAATCACATATTAAGTACCAATACATATTTTATCTAATTTTTAAAGATTTATCTAATTCCCTTGCTAGTTTGTGACTTTGAAGGGTAAGGAGAAGTTTGGTTTGGTTTGGTTTGGCTTTGAGACAGGGTCTCACTGTGTAGTCCAGGCTGGTCTTGAACTTACTGTGTAGTCCTAGTTGGCTTCAACTACCTCGGACTCCCAATTACTGGGATTACAGAATTGCACCACCACAACAAGCATGGAGGGCATTAAGATGCCCCACAACCCTTTGCCCATAGATAAGGAAGTCGCAGTAAATATTCTATGAAGTATCCAGTGATGGAGCAGCAAGGACTTAGCTGAGTCATGACTCAGCTGGAAATCTCCATTGTGATCTTGATCAGATTACCTCTTTGGGTTTTGGTTTCCCTGCATGTATAATATTTTCACATGAAAGGGTCCAAGAAAAAGGCTTTAGGCCCCTGCTATGCAGAAGCCCTCTGCTAAGCCTCAGGGCCCTGTGATGCTACCCTCTGCCTGCTCACAGTCAAGCTGAGGATGGGAACAGTAACCTGAGGATTTTTCACAAGTTCACTACCTAGACAAACCCTAAGGTGCCTCCCACCCTTCCCAAATATTTGTGCAGGTAGTTGGATTTCTTTAGTGAATCCTCTGAGGCAGAAGATTAGGGCATGGCAAAGCAGCTGGACAAGTGGGCATGACCTGTCAGTCATGTGCATTTCTTGACCAATTCTTTATTCAGGACAAGAACCTAGAAGGAATCTCTGGAAGGAGCCCACAGCACCCTAGGTAATACTTCCTTACAAGATGTTCAGAGTGCCAGGGATTTAGCTTAGTAGTACTGCACCTGCCTGGCAAGCACAAGGTCTTGAATTCGATCCCCAGTACCAAAAAAAAAAAAA